ATGGCAGTGTTTCTCAACCTTCCTAATGCCGCGACCACTTAACACAGTTCCTCGTGTTGTGGTGACCCCCAACGATAAAATTACTTTTGTTGCTACTTCATAACTTTAATTTTGCTACTGCTGTTATGAATTGTAATTTAAATATCTGATATGCAGAATGTATATCACTAGACCAAATTTGGCACAAATACCTGACATGTCTGAATTTGAATACTGGTGGGGGTGGGTGATTTTGTCATTTGTAGTTGCTGGGATTTAGTTAACCTAACATGGAATTGAACCATGGTATTGAACCAAACTTGGCACACAGAACTCCCACAACCAACAGAAAATACTGGAAGGGTTTGGTGGGCATTTATGTTGAGTTTTGGAGTTGTATTTCACCTACATCCAGAGAGCACTGCAGACTTAAACAATGATAGATTTGGACCAAAGTTGACAAAAATATGCAATGTGCCCAAATGTGAACACTGGTGGAGTTTGGAGAAAATAGACCTTGACATTGGGGAGTTGTAGTTACTGGGATTTATAGTTCACCTACAATCAAAGAGCATTCTGTACCCCATCAATGATAGAATTGGGCCAAGCTTTCCAGACTCACTGGTGTGAGCCCCCCTCCAGCCTCGCATGCTCTCCCTTGCTTGCGCACCACGCTGCCATGCACCAAGCACGCCTGCTCTCCCCTCCCCACTTAGAGTCTCAGAAACAGCCCTCCCCTTTGCTGTCAGGTTAGCTGAGTGGCTGTCCAATCACAGAGGAGAGTTTTGGTGGGAAGATTGGCTGTCTGGTTTGTATGGCCATGTTTTAGAAGCATTCTCTCCTGATATTTTGCCTGCATCTGTGGCAAGCATCCTCAGAGGTTGTGAGGTGGCAAGCATCCTCACAACCTCTGTGGCAAACATCCTCACAACCTCTGAGGATGCTTGCCACAGATGCAGGCAAAATGTCAGGAGAGAATGATTCTAAAACATGGCCATATAGCCCAAAAAACCTACAACAACCGAGTGATTCCAGCCATGAAAGCCTTCGACAATACAGATTAGCTGTCTGTTTCCAAAACTGAAGAGGACAGGCAGGGAGATCTTCAGTCTTCTCTGACGAAGAGGTTCTTAATACCATCAGAAATATGTGTATTCTGATGGTCTTTGGTGACCCCTCCGAAACCCCTTCGTGACCTCCCCCCAGGGTCCCGACCCCCACATTGAGAAACACTATTTTATAATATGTTTCTGCCAGAAGTTGGCCAGAAATTCTGACAGAAGTTATGCTGGAGGACCTAGGCATTTCCTAGGGTTCTCTGCATGACTCTACAGCAGGCACGGGCAAACTTTGGCCTTCCAGATGTTTTGGATGTCAACTACTGGCTGTTAGGAATTGTGGAAGTTGAAGTCCAAACCAGCTGTCTGGACTTGTTGGAGTTGAAGTTCAAAACACTTGGAGAGCCAAAGTTTGCACATGCCTGTTCTATAGTATGCTTCCGCTGAAGGTTGTGCATTTAATAGCATCCTTTATCATCTCTTGTTTTGCATCTCAAAGTCCTGGAACACGCTCCCTGTGGATATGGGGCTCCCACTGTATTACTTTTCCCAGTTGTATCTGATAAGATAGAGAGAGTTGGTTCAAAGGATGCTACTTGATGGACAAGCAAAGGAAATCATTTGGCTCTGTGGCCTGAGATGGTGCTATGTGGAACCCCTCCAAACCTGGCTCTCCTTCAGTATTGGTTTTCATTTCGTGGGGGTTCTTCCGCCTTATTTTGGCACCTTTTCTGTTCTCTGAAAGATAGGAGAATAAAACAGCAGGGGTTCAAGAAATACACCTCCTTTTTTATTTATCATGTGGCAGTGACATCTCTGGCCCACCCTGTTTGGATATCGGCCAGCACGCCAATGACTTAAACCAAGAAATAATTTTCTAAGATCTACAGAGACACTTGCTGGAACACCTCAGCAAGCGAGAGTCCAAAAGTGGAAGGCTAAAACTCAGAACCTCAACCCATGGCTGATACCAAATGAGAGATTCCCTCCTGGGCACACAGAAAACTGGGCAACTTGGAAGGCACTGAACGGACTGCACTCTGGCACCATGAGATGCTGAGTCAACCTTAAGAAATGGGGCCACAAAGAGGAGTCCACAACATGTGAGTGTGGAGAAGAGCAAACCACAGACCAACGATTACAATGCAACCCGAGCCCTGCCACATGCACATTTTTTTCTGAATGAAGCACAGAGTGTTTGAGGACCGGGACATCCGTAGAGATACCAAGGTGCTTGTTTATAAAGCTATTGTCCTCCTAACCTTGCTATATGCCTGCAAGACATGGACGGTCTACAGGTGTCACGTGCAACTCCTACATCGATTCCATCAGCGTTGCCTCCAGAAAATCCTGCAAATCTCTTGGGGAGACATGCGGACAAATGTCAGTGTGCTGGAAGAAGACTACCAGCATTGAAGTAATGGTCCTCCACCATCAACTCCACTGGACCGGCCATGTTGTCTGGATGCCTGACCACCTTCTCCATGCCCATGCCTCGTCTCACCCCAAAGCAGTTGCTCTACTCCAAACTTAAAAACAGAAAACAGAATGTTGGTGGGCAGGAAAAGAGATTTAAAGATGGGCTCAAAGCCAACCTTAAAAACTCTGGCATAGACACTGAGAACTGGGAAGCCCTGGCCCTTGAGCGCTCCAGCTGGAGGTCACCTGTGACCAGCAGTGTTGCAGAATTTGAAGAGGCACGAATGGAGGGCGAAACGTGCCAAGCGGAAGGCGCGTCAAGCCAACTGGGACCACCTTCCACCTGTAAACCAATGCCCTCGCTGCAGGAGAACATGCAGATCAAGAATAGGGCTTCACAGTCACCTATGTACCCACCGCCAGTACACTGATCTTGAAAGAAAATCCTACTCTGACAAGGAGGAATCGCCTAAGTAAGTAAGTACAATGGAGGACCTTCTTACCTGATTTTATATTGTTGTGTCGCTTATTATATTGGTTTTGCATTTTATGTATTTTACTTTCTGGTTTTGTTATGCTTTTTGTTATATTGTTGTTTACTGTACTGATGGGCATGGCCTCATGTAAGTTGCACCGAGTCCCCCTGGGGGAGATGGAGCAGGGTATAAATAGTTATTATTATTATTATTATTATTATTGTCGAAGGCTTTCATGGCTGGAATCACTGGGTTGTTGTAGGTTTTTTCGGGCTATCTGGCCATGTTCTTGAGGCATTTCTCCTGAGATTTCGCTTCCATCTATGGCAAGCATCCTCAGAGGTAGACTAAGCAGTGTGATTGATTGACTGACTATCGGAACACGGAATATCGGATAACGAGTTTGGATTCTGATTTCATTGATGAGACCTGATGGATTTGTTATATTGATGTAGTGATGTATTGATATTGATGTTTAATGATTTGTGATGCTATTGCTTTTAAATGCTTAATGATTTTGTATTGTGTATACCTAAATTGTTGTAAACCGCTCTGAGTCGCCTAAGGGCTGAGAAGAGCGGTATACAAATAAAGTAAATAAATAAATAAATAAATAATAAAGAGGTCTGTTGGAACTAGGAAAAAGGATTTATATATCTGTGGAATGACCAGGGTGGGGCAAATGACTCTTGTCTTGATTAGCATTTGATTGCCTGGAAGTGCCTGGAGCAATCTTTTGTTGAGAGGTGATTAGATGTCCTTGTTTGTTTCCTCTCTGTTGTTGTGCTGTTCTAATTTTTAGAGTTTTTTAATACTGGTATTATTATTATTATTATTATTAATGTATTGTCGAAGGCTTTTATGGCTGGAATCACTAGGTTCTTGTGGTTTTTTTCGGGCTATAGGGCCATGTTCTAGAGGCATTTCTCCTGACGTTTCCCCTGCATCTATGGCAAGCATCCTTAGAGATAGTGAGGTCCAACCGCATCTCGACCTACAAGCCCTCCAGGACTTTGAGATCTTCCGGGGAGGCCCTGCTCTCGATCCCGCCTGCTGCACAGGCACGGCTGGCGGGGACGAGAGATAGGGCCTTCTCGGTGGTGGCTCCTCGGCTGTGGAACACCCTTCCCATGGACATCAGACTGGCTCCTTCCCTGATGATATTCCGCAGGAAATTAAAAACTTGATTGTTCAAGAAGGCGTTCGAACAGGAAGTGCAATGATTGGTAATGACTATAGGAATGGAACAATGGAAAATGATACTGGTTTGTGGTTTAGACGATGAGACGACGCGGAATGGCTTTTGTATTATTGATGATGTTTTTGATGATGATGTTTTTGGTTAATGCTGGATTGACTATTTTAGATTGTGTCTTGAATTTTGAACCTTGTTCTTTCTATGTTGTACACCGCTGTGAGTTGCCCCCGGGCTGAGAACAGCGGTATATAAGCAAAGTAAATAAAGAAATAAATATTATTATTATTATTATTATTATTATTATTATTATTGGCCAGCTACTGGTCAAAAGACATTTAACAGAATGCCAAGTTTGCAAACTTCGTTTTTTAAAATACAATACAAGTGTTTGCTTCGCTCCTGACAGGATAAATAAATCACCTCCTTTTATATAACGGTGATGTTTTCCACCCGCATTGCCCTGAAGCGCCTGGCGGTTCTGCCTCTGAGCTGTCAAAGGTCCCAACCTTCTGCTCGCCTGCCTTGCTTGCCTTGCTTGCCTCCCAGCCCCACGTGCGCTGCTTATCCCGCTTCCAAAGCGTCCGCCAAAACTTCTCGCCTGGGCAACAGCAGAAGGAGAAGGGGGGGGAGGGAAGGAGGAGAAGAAAGAGAACAAGGCCGGGAGGGGAAACGAAGAGAAAGAGTGGGGGGAAGCCGAAAGAAAGGAGCAGCTGCTGCTCCCTGGCCGATCCCCTTCCTTCGGCAGCCAATCCGAATCCGTCCAATCAGCCGCGCCCGCTTCGAAGCAGCAACCAATCCTGAGAAACAAAGAGGCAAAAAAAAGGGGGGGAGGGGGGCGGGTGTATGTGTCTGTATTGGGGAGGGGAGAGAAAGAAGACAAGGGGGCGTGAGAGAGAGAGAAAGAAGGAGAGAGAGAGAGAGAGAGAGAGAGACAGCGCTTCCCACACCCTGTGCTCCGTCTTCCTTCCAGGTGGTGGGAAAGGCGGCCCAATGGGGTCCTGGGGGCGGCGGAGGGACGAGGAGAGGCGCTGAGGGCGGTGAGAGGGGGAAGAGGCGAGCGAGGCATGGGCATGGAGCGCGCGGTGGCCCCGGAGGCGCGCGCCGGGCGGAGGAGAGGCTTTTCGGGCGCTGGGAGCCGCGCGCGCCGCCTCCTCTTCCTCCCCTTCCTCCTCCTCCTCCTCCGCGCCAGAAGCAGAAGCAACAGCAGCCTCCGCCGCTTCCTCGTTTCGCCCTCTTCTTCCTCTTCAGGGAGCTGCTGAGGCTGCCCTCCTCCTCCTCCTCCTCCTCCTCCTCCTCCTCGCCCGCTTCCTCCCTCCAGCGAGGCAACTTCACCTCCTTTCCATCGGCTGGCTGGCGGAGGAGGGAAGGAAGGCAGGCGCTTCCTCCCTGGCGCCCTCCCTCTCGCCTTTCCCCTCTTTCTCTCTCTCCCTTCCTGGCTTTCTTCCTGAGGGCGGGGAGGAGAGGAGCGCCATGCGCGAGTACAAAGTGGTGGTGCTGGGCTCGGGCGGCGTGGGCAAGTCGGCGCTCACGGTCCAGTTCGTCACGGGCTCCTTCATCGAGAAGTACGACCCCACCATCGAGGACTTCTACCGGAAGGAGATCGAGGTGGACTCCTCGCCCTCGGTGCTGGAGATCCTGGACACGGCCGGGACGGAGCAGTTCGCCTCCATGCGGGACCTCTACATCAAGAACGGGCAGGGCTTCATCCTGGTCTACAGCCTGGTCAACCAGCAGAGTTTCCAGGACATCAAGCCCATGCGCGACCAGATCATCCGGGTCAAGCGGTACGAGAAGGTGCCCATGATCCTGGTGGGCAACAAGGTGGACCTCGAAGGCGAGCGGGAGGTCTCCTTCGGCGAAGGCAAAGCCCTGGCCGAGGAGTGGAGCTGCCCCTTCATGGAGACCTCGGCCAAAAACAAAGCCTCCGTCGACGAACTCTTTGCCGAGATCGTCCGGCAGATGAACTACGCCTCCCAGCCCAACGGGGACGACCAGTGCTGCTCCTCCTGTGTCATCCTTTGAAAGGAAAGGAAAGGAACAGCCAGGCGGATAGAGCCACTGTGCCCCTAGGTTGCAGGCCTGGGCAGACTTGGGCCCTCCAGGTGTTTTGGACTCCAACTCCCACCATTCCTAACAGCCTCGGGGCCCTTCCTTATCTCCCTCAGCCTTCTTGTGTCATCCTTTGAAAGGAAGAGCCAGGCGGATAGAGCCACTGTGGCCCTATATTGCAGGCCTGGCCAAACTTGGGCCTTCCAGGTGTTTTGGACTCCTACTCCCACCATTCTTATCAGCCTCGGCCCCTTCCTTATCTCCCTCAGTCACTCAGATGATCAGTGCTGTTCTTCTTGAGTCATCCTTTGAAAGAAAGAGCCAGACAGATAGAGTCACTGTGTCCATATATTAGAGGCCTGGGCAAACTTGGGGCCTCCAAGTGTTTTGGACTTCAACTCCCACCATTCCTAACAACCTCAGTCTCCTTCCTTATCTCCCTCAGCTACTTAGATGATCAGTGTTGCTCTTCTTGTGTCATCCTTTGAAAGGAAGAGCCAGAAAGATAGAGCCACTGTGTCCATATATTGCAGACATGGGCAAACTTGGGCCCTCCACATGTTTTGGACTCCAACTCCCACCATTCCTAACAGCCTCAGGCCCCTTCCTTTTCCCCTTCAGCTGATTATGGGTAAACTTGGGCCCTCCATGTGTTTTGGATTCCTACTTCCACCATTCCTTACAGCCTCGGCCCCTTCCTTATCTCCCTCAGCCACTTAGATGATCAGTGCTGCTCTTCTTGTGTCATCCTTTGAAAGGAAGAGCCAGAAAGATAGAGCCACTGTGTCCATATATTGCAGACATGGGCAAACTTGGGCCCTCCAGGTGTTTTGGACTCCCAACTCCCACCATTCCTAACAGCCTCAGGCCCCTTCCTTTTCTCCCTCAGCCACTTAGATTATCAGTGCTTCTCTTCTTCTGTCGTCCTTTGAAAGGAAGAGCCAGAGTCAATGTGCCCATATATTGCAGGCCTGTGCAAACTTGGGACCTCCCAAGTGTTTTGGACTTCAACTCCCACTATTCCTAACAGCCTCAGTCTCCTTCCTTTTCTCCCTCAGACACTTAGATGATCAGTGTTGCTCTTGTGTCGTCCTTTGAATGGAAGAGCCAGACGGATAGAGCCATTGTGTCCATATATTGCAGGCATGGGCAAACTTAGGTTCTCCAGGTGTTTTGGACTCCAACTCGCATCATTCCTAACAGCCTCAGGCCCTTTCCTTTTCCGCCTCAGCCGCTTAAGTGGAAGGGGAAAAGGAAGGGGCCTAAGGCTGTTAGGAATTGTGGGAGCTGAAGTCCAAAACACCTGGAGGCCCAAAGTTTGCCCATCCCTGCTATACTGCATTATCCCCCCTTTTTTCCATTTCTATTTTTTGAAAATCAAAGGTTTACAGCAGCAGCAACACCACCACAGCACAGAAAAAGGCAGCGACAAAAGCGATACTGACATCCTGGGAAACAATTTTGCATTCCGCCTGGATTCCTTCCAGGGTTGCTGCCTTGAGTGGTGCTGCTCATCAGTGTCATCATGGTTTTGCCTTCTGTCTTGTTGACATCTGACTGGGGAGGAAGAAAAAAACCCACACACCTTCCCAAAGAAAAGCCTTGTTGGAAATGTGGTGTTTCCCACATGTTCGTGCCATCGGTTTGATTGTTGCTTATTTCTTGTACCTCTTGGCAGAGGACTGTATTGGCAACTGATGCCCAGTAGGAAAGTTCACGTGTGCTCCTTTGGGGGAGAGAGAGGAATTAGCAATCGCTTTAGAACTGGAAGATTAAAAAAAAACCCTGGGGAAAAAATGAAGGGAATCTGCAAAAGAAGAATGTTTGTACTTGTGGAGGTACTTCAGAGCCTCCCCTTAGCATTTTAGCCAGTGACTAGCAAACTTTTGTTTTCTGAGGATTTCTATGCAAAGTTGGAATATCAGTTCACATGCTTATCCCACCTGAAGAAGTCTTGCACGTGTACTACCTGGGACTTTTAATAACACTGCTGCCAATACGGTGTGCGAGGTGCCAGAAAAAGTGTGTGCTAAATTTCTTGTGAAATCTTCTATTTTGTTTACCTGCTGTACTGAAAGGGAGGGAACGGAGAGCATTTATTTGCGTGTGCGTGTGTGTGTTTTTTAAAAAGAAATCAGCTGTGAAAACATTACAGATCTGCACAATTTTTAAGTTTTGTGTCTTTTTGGGGAAAGGGCTCGGTTTGGGAGGGAGGGAGGATGTAATCACAAGGTGATGGCTTGTCTGAGGGTTAATCCAAACCATTCCACTTTAATGTGTTGTCAAATGCTTTCATGGCCAGAATCACTGTGTTGCTGTGAGTTTTCTAGGCTGTCTGGTCATGTTACGGAAGCATTATCTCCTGATGTTTCACCCACATCTGTGGCAGGCATCCTCAGAGGTTGAGGGATCTGTTGGAAACTAGGCAAGTGAGGTTTATATATCCAAATATATATCTAGACATATAAACCTCACTTGCCTAGTTTCCAACAGGCCTCACAATCTATGAGGATGCCTACTATAGATGTGGGTGAAACATCAGGAGAGAATGCTTCTGGAACATGGCCATACAGCTCAGAAAATTCACAGCAACCCATATTCCACTTTAACTTCCATAGCTGTTTTATGGAATCCTGGAGTTTTTAGATTTGTGAGAGACTCTTGGTTTCTAGCAGAGAATTCTAAGCATCTCAGAGTATAAATCCCAAAGTCTTACAGTGGAACAAAGACAATTTAAGTGGTATGAAACTGATATAATTATGTAGTGTGGATATACCCTAATTTAGTTTGAGTTGGGTGGTGGCTGCTGACAATAATTGGTTTTGACAACTCGTTTTCTGAAGCACAAAGCCTTCCCAAGAAGTGGGCCCAAGAAATACTTTGTGTCTGTGAGTGCCTTCAAAACGGCTCCCGAAGCCAGTGCCAACCTGTGGAAGTCCCAAGAATGCCATTAGCTACTAAAAGCCTTTTTTTAAAAAAAAAAATCCACAACTATTTAGCAATTTTCTTTCAGTAATCATGGTGAACAAGGCAGAACAACAGGGCCTGTTATGAATGGGATTAATTTCAAGTTGGTTTCCATTTGAGCCTTTTCCAGCTTAGTTCACATGGCTTTCGGGCTTCTTTTGCTTCAAGTTGACAGGTATTTGTGTAGATTTTATATGTGCAAGATCATATGTGTGCTCTCACAAGGTGTATCTTCAACCAGCAATTAAAAGATTTGTAGTGCCATGTTCCTGGAAATCTAAACCTCTTAACTCTTGATTTTACATCCCATACAGATATTTCTTCCTTTAAAAATATCTTTCAGTGGAATTGCCATTTTTTTTAAAAAAAATGTTTGCTGGTTTTCATGTATTGTGCTAAACATTCAGTCATTCTAGAAGTCAAGCTGTCGAGGACAGATAATTATGTGAAATATGAAGATTAAGGAAAGGCATTTTGGCCTGTGGGAGGTGATGTATCAAACTCTGAGTGGAGCTAATGTTCAGAGCTTGTTCATAGTGCTATTTTGATTCTGGTGTTATGCTTTGTTCACTGATATTATGCAGATTTTAAATTGCCTGCAAGATTAGATTCATTTAATTTGTGCACAACTCAATTTTAAGTGTGTTTGCTAGAAATATAGCTCACTCACTTCTATGGAGGTTACTAGAAAGTGTGCTTGGAACTATTGCCTTAGGGTAAATGGCATGAGTGCTTGTTCTGCTGCAGCCATTCATATTTTTAGAAGGCAGGATAAAATTCTGAATATGATTCACTGAACTCAGTTCATAGTGAAATATATATGAGAGACTTGGATTGCCTATCTTCAGTCATGTTTGCATTTTAAATCCTTAAATAAGATTATATTATTTTGCTTCGTTCATTACCACTTTTAGAATTCTTTTGGAAATGAACTGAAAGCTGTTTCTCACATTAAGTTCACACATGCAAAACAATAAGGCATATATTTTGTTATATTAAATGGTAGTAGAGATGTATTTTTCCAAGGTATTTGGAAACTAGGCCCTACTGTCACTTCCAGAAACTTGCAGTGTACTGAAGAAAATGGAGTAGTTGGATACACACAATTAAAGAAGGAATATGTCTCCCAAGTGCCTTGTCAGTAAAGGAAAAGGAGAGTTCTTAGAAGCAGTCACTAGATCCTTGATTTGAAAGCTGTCTTGGTTTCAATAAGTCTAAAGAAGGAAAGAAGTGATGCATGCCTTAAAGATTTAACTTCCCTTTTCCTGTTAGATGTGACACATCTGACACATTCTGATCACATTGTTTTGCTGAACCCAATCATATAAAGCATCACTTCAGTAATACTTATTTAAAAGAACAAAAAACTACAACCAAGTGCAATAGAAATGCATGGAATTTAATTGTGTGTCAATGCAGAACACAACTTAATTTTGAATCAAGCTTCCAAGTAATATGTTTAGGATTGTGGCACTGCATCTTTAGATAACTTCTTCTCAAGTTGAGCTCCATTTTTCTTCAAGGTATTGTTTAGGTCATGTGATTTATTCCTAAAGTAATTTTCAAGTATTAGTAGCATGGCCAAAGAACATGTTGAATTAGTGGTGGAGGAAAGGTACCAGAACACCACGGTATAGTATGTTTTATGTGGGCTTGGTAGGACAGAAAGATAGGCCTTGTTTCTAGCTCAGGTAGATTAATAGTATTTTGGCAAGTGGATTATAGCACCATTACTTCACTTTAACTGCCACAGCCCTGCCCTGTGGAACCCTGGAATTGTTGGTTTATGGAGGGGCATTTGGAATTCTTGTTAAGAGGGTTTTATTGCTGCACCAAACTACATTACATAGGATGTTGTCATGACAGTTAAAGTGGAACAATAGTACTGTAATTTTCTAGTGTGAATGGGCACCAGGACTGCTTCGTTAGCTTTTCTTCCAAAACAATGCTGAGAAATCCACACTGTAGGCCAAGAATGTCATAACTTCCTAAAAGAAACAAGATAAAAGAAGGTAAATAGGAAATGCATAGTCTTTGAGTGTACTGTTGGCCTAGCTGATTTGATGAACTTTTTTTGTTTTGTTTTGAAAATATGGATATAATGGGTGTCTTGGAACAACTTTGATAGTTCTTTTAAGAAGTTTTTAAAACTTTGGCATGATGTTGGGTTGTGAGGCTTAATGTATTCATTTGGAATCAAGTTCAGTTAAATTCAATGAGATTTTCTTTGAGAATTTTAAAAGGGGGATTGCCGTTTGTTTTTGTTTTTTGTTTTGTTTTTTGCTTAAGTGAAAGCAGGAGCTGCATTGTGATTCACAATAGGTTTTTGGGCTAGTCTTGTTTTGTACTCAGTAAGGTTACAGTTAAGGAATCAAAGTACGACTCCAAGTTCAGTGTTCAGGCTACTCTTCATATTAAAGAATACATAATTTTATATTAAGACTATCTGACAAACCACAATATGCTATTAAGGACAGTTAATGACAAAGATACAATATACATGTACATGCTTATGGAAGAGTAAACCAAGCATATAACTTGATTTATTCATAGTGTCAGGATGAAGTGAAGTTAATTAAGATTATTACTGGTGGATAGTTTAAAAAATAAATAAAGAGGTATAACAAAGGAGAACATATGATAGAGTGATGGCAACTTTATACTTCCAGCATCTTCATGTAATGGTGAGCAAAGAAATCTCACCTCACTTTTCTTAAGATTTCCTGTTACTCAGTGTAGGTAGGACCAATGGTCTGATTTAGGACATGGGGAAAGTGTGGTCTCCAAGATGCATGTGGCCTCCAAGACTATTTTTTTTATCACCCAGGGGTCAAAAAGATGTTTGCTCTGAAATGCCAAAAAAAATCTCTAGGGGTTGTAGTGGACATTTACAGATGTTTTGAGCCCTCTACCAGGGCCTTTGTTTTGCATTTGTTTTTGTTTTTTGTTTTGTTTGTTTTTTTTAAAAAAAAAATGCCCCAAAATGCCCTCTAGGGCCTAGGAAGGCCCACAAATATGTTTCCATGCCCTATAAATGTTCTTTTAAGGGGTGGAGGCCAGTGATAGATGGAATAGACACATGCCTTCGAAGTCTTTGAAAGGTCTAATGTAGCTACCCAGACCCCTTCCACACAGCTGAATAAAATTCCACATTATCTGCTTTGAACTGGAATATATGGCAGCGTGCATTCAGATAACCCAGTTTAAAACAGATATTGTGGAATTTTCTGCCTTGATATTCTGGGTCATATGGCTGTGTGGAAGGGCCCCTAGTTTTCAACAGTTGCCCACTCTGACTTATTTGGTGTATATTTGGTGTATATCAAGCCGGGCCAGGTGTAGTCTTCTTGATGTTGCTAGACTGTAACTCTTAGTATCCCCCCACTTTCCTCAAAAGGCTCATGGTAATTTGGTCCAAGAACATTGCATGTCCCTCATGTAGATAGAGTTCTATCCTAACCAGAATCATTAGGCACTCATTAGATTGCAGACATTTCTAGATATAGGGCTTGCCATTAGATACAACGAGGAAGCTGCCTCAGGCAACCAATTTCAGGTGATGTGAAAGAGTTGTTATTTCATTTGTGATTATATTTTTATCATAAGGGAGAGGTGCTTGTTGAATTTTCTGCCTAGGGTGCCAGAATAACTTACCTGGCTGTTGGTACAGGGAAACCTGACCTGCATGGTTGAGTGGAGGGTACATTAGCTGTTCCGTGTCAGGCATCAAAATATCTTGGCTCAATCCTGGCCTGCCATATAGCATCAGGATCCTATAAGAGTGCAGGCTGAAATTATCCTGTGGCTGTGGACCTTTCACATTGCATGCTTCAAGGCATCTTGCATACCCAAGAGGTAATATTAACATTCCCCTTGGCTGCATATATGACTTAAAGCATGTACAAAGCAGCATAGCCCTTCTCCTCCCATGGCTGGAATGGATAGTGGAATCATTGCTCCATTATGGATTTCACAACCCATCAATTGTTTGGGCAGAGTAGGAAAAATCCAGTCTGCTCTGCTAAAATTTCTGAAACAGAACATAACCGAATCTCTCAGTTTGTTCCCTTCCCACTACTGCTATAAAAGTCTCCTATATACCAAAGCAATTATCACTGCTGTAATGCTTGTTTGTGGTTTTGATTCTGCAGCTGCCCATATGGTAATACAATGGTTGTGAACCTTTAGAGGAGGAAGAATGATAT